ACATGGCTCCACAAGTGCAGATGTACCAGGCAGGCATAAAACAAAATCCACTGCCAAAGATACACACGCTATCACTCAGCAAAAAAAAGAATAATAATAAATTGCACCTGCACCAGCTTGTATTTGAGACAGGCATCTATATGAGACATTTATAGACTTTATAATTTAGTGTTGAGATGTTGTTCATTGAGTGTAAGCTAGTCTCTAATTTTTTTAAAAATGTCCAAATACTCCACGTGAAACTGTGGTCTTCTGACCTTTTACTATTGTTTCAATTGATTTTGATTAATATGAGGGAGAGACAGCGGCAGCGCTGCGTGCTTGTTATATGCGCCCTATCAAGCGCAGCAGTTTCTATTTATTTACCAACCTCCAGTCACACCAAGCGTGTAAAAGAGACACGCATCTATTTGGGACTCGGCTAATATTTTTTATTTTACTTAAAATAATACGTGACAAAACATGATTTTTCCATAATAAGTCGGGATACTAAAATTACAGTTGAAATACGGGACTGTCTGGGAAAAACGGGACGTCTGGTCACCCTACTTAAGAGTCTTCGTAGCGCACTAAGAGACAACGTGGAGAATCCAAAGCACTCTGTCTTCTTTAATCAGCACCACGGAGAGCGATCGCGGATAGTTCTGTTCTGTCCTATGCACCGAAACAATGCAACAAAATATTAAAAGAGCATCAAGCTATTAAAATCTATATTATGTACAGGCTAGTCACAGATAATTTAACAGTAGCCCAGTCAGTAATTTTTATTAGGCTAAACAGTGATTAGATAACGTTTAATTTAACGTTCACAATTGTTGGCGGTTGGCGGTTACAGCCCGGATCGGGCGGCTCGGATGACGTGACTAAAAAAATATTTTAATTAAATTCGGGCGGGTGGTTGAACCAAATTATGTGCCAAAATGCGTTTTCTATTAGGCTACAATGAAAATATTGTGTATTAGCCTATAAGATGTGCAGGTCAATGTGAAGAGGTTCAGTGCGTGTGGAAGGAAGAAGGGTCGGCGTGACTGGGACTCGCGTTTATTCAGAATAACAAAAAGAAACGAGGCGCACAATAGCGCATTCGCCACCATAAACAAAACCCGCGATCCAACACTTGCTTCTCAGTCTCGGTTGCAGTAGCCAAGTGCGAAGTCCCCGTCCAACTCTCTTTCGCTCTCTCACTCCCGCTGGTTATATGCGGTCTCTCCACGCCAATTACTGCAATCAGACACATGGTGTTCATCATCTTGACCTACTTACTCACCGCGCTGCTCCGTCTTTTCTCTCCCGCTACAGACTTCGCAAAATCACGCCCCCCTCCCCACAGTCATTGTTGTTGAAACCTTTTACACACTAATGTGTTATAGTAACACAACTTGTGTCAGATATGCATCACATGTGATTGTAGTCGGAGAGTATTTGCCAGAGTTACTTCCCGTGTGCTTACAAAAGTGTTTGGATGAACATTGTTAACTTGTGTTTATGTAGTCCAGTGATGTTTAATAGAGTTTATTTGAACATTTGGATGTTTTAGACATCATTAATCTACATAGACAAGCTCTTATTAAGAATGAACAGAGGTTTGATGTTTCATTTCAGTTTTATTTCAAGTCACCAGAATCGTGATTAATCATGGCTCATTTATTTGGGCTCTTGACCCGTTACTCTTGTTTTAGTGTTTCTCTGGCTGCTGTAACTGTATTTTAATGAAATATATCTGTTATGGTGAGAGAAAATATGATCAGATTGTTCTTGATGATTGAAGCTTTCTGAAGCACTGAGGCTTTCCCCTTCATTACTCGAAGCTTTTCAACATGGGGCAAACTAACGACATCTTGTGGTCAAATGGTGGAAAAGCTACCTTTCCCATTTTTTTTGTATTGTTTTATGTAATAAATCACTTTGTGCTATGAAAACCACAAAGCAATTACAAAATCATCAGTGTTAGAGTTGATTTTTACACAATGTATGAACAAAATGAGTCTATGAATTAATTTATGAAATAATACATAGGACAAATTAACTCTGTTTAAAACAAAAGATATGAACACAGATATTTACAAATATGTGCAAAAAACAGTGTAAAAGATGACCTAATTCTCATCATCAGTAGAAACGTCTCCCTGTGAGATCACTAGTTTATATGTTTATATGTATATGGCTGAAAAAGGAACAAAGAATAGCCAACCTTACGACAATAAAGAAGCCCAATCCTAAAGAAGATTCACTTTCCTACAAGTATTAATTTATAAACAATACTTGACTGCAACAAATGGTCATGCATTTATCACTGAAAAAGTTTTGAGGCCAACATCAAAACCTGAATTACTTCTGTTACGATTCCACTGTTAGATCGCAACAAAGTAAGACGCCACACAACCGCTGCATAAACAATATGATTTATTTTAGATAAAGTAAGAAACATGACATGTAAAGTGGTTTTATTTGTATATTTACCTTGACTTTAGCCTGTAAGATTAGGTTTAGAACAGGATGTTATCTGTTCTGACATACAGTGTTAAAGCATCTGTAAATTTGGCAGTAAAAATCCATTGCAAGCTTGTGTGTAAAAGAAGTTCAAGCATTTTAAATGTGTGTTAATTGTATGCATTTTGTGTTAAAGCAACAAGAAATGTGTTAATAGTATAGCTTACAGAGACGGATGTAGTGCTAACTGTGTTAAGAGTTTTGGAAAATTGTTAAAAATACTGAAAAGTCTGTCATAGCAATCGTAAAAAAAAACTGTAAGATACTAATATTTTGTGTCCATCTTTAGGTCATCCGAAGAAAGGATAGTATAAACAGCACACTTGAAAACTTTCTCAACTTGAGAAAGAAATTCTCAAATTAAATAAGAAAATTAAAAGTATATCTTTGCAACAAGGTATTTTTTTCAAATATCTGTATTTCTGTTTATCCATCTATCAATTTATCTGTCAGTGTGTGGCCAACATGGGCTGTCTGGAAGACGCTATAGCGAAGCCAGCTCTTGACCAGGACACAGTTGTGCCGATTAGTAAAATGTCCTTCTTTTTTTCTTTACGCAAACATGATGTTGCAGTTACAGTGCAAAATCGTAATCATGTTATCACATATAATATGTAGAATTGCATTTACAGACACAGGACAGAAAACATTTCCTATTCCAAAAAAGTTCATCATGGAAGCACTACCACACACACACACACACACACACACACAGTTTTGTAAACTTTTTCCCCTTCTTTTTTCAGGTAAACAAAAGGCTTCATTTAAGCAATATTTGGCTGCATGTGAATTGGACTCCGCTTCTCTCTGCTCTCTGACAGTAAAATAAATAAAATACATAATTTATAATAATACATAGTTTGTTGTGAAGTTATTTCCCCTGCATAAATCCAGCAGAAGACAACTTGCAAAGTCTTGCGTAACTGCATATATATCCTGCACAACAGTCCTACAGAGAGTTTGAAAACCCTGCAGGGATATCTTCACCAAGGTATTCCTTCAGGAAAATGAGCGGAAAATCCTGTAGGAAATCTGCATAATATTCTTGCAGGATTCCTGTAGGTTATTTTTGTAAAGGCAGAACCCGATTAGCATAATTCTGCCTGTATTTCTCTTTCTATTCAGTGTTTCGGCTCTTATCACGTGCACATGGCATGCCCAGTTGAGTGACATTTGTGCGCTACTAGCGCCATCTTGTGGTGATGTTCAGAATAATTATTTAGCATGGTCCAATACGACTGGGATTGTACACAGCCTGAACACTGTTAATTATTTAAATGTTTATGTTTTAGAATATATGTATTCTAATGTTTATTTCTCTTAACCAGCTCTTCAGTAAACAAGGGAAACTTAAACTTTCCTTCTTTCTTTTTTTGCAGTGAGAGGAACAAGCCTGCATCCCAATGTATCCATCCTAAGATAGTATATAAATAGAATACAGTTGCTGTGAATGTTTTTATTTACTTGAACTTAAATTGAAGAGTTCAATCCATTAACCCCATCTGTGTTTTGTTTAGTGTGATAATAAGCAGACGAGACGTGTTTGCCAGTTGAATATTCTTTACTCGACTACTGAGGCATGCTGGGTAATGGAGTTCTTGACTTAGGCTACTCATAACGTCACACCACCCAACCCAAAATAAGCTTCGTCATAATATAAGCCTACTCAATCGTTTGTGCTGTAAGTTTGTACGGCTTCGGTTTTTACATAAAGAATATTTTGGTCATTCTGAGGTCACTCAGTCTCGTTCGTTTCTGCGGTAAAAAAAAATAAATACAATAAAATTGTTTGTGCTGCGTCGGGTTTTATATGACAATAAATCAAATTATAGCCTAGTGTGGAGTTAGTGTAGTGTAACAGTGTAGAGTTAGTAGAGAAAAGTAATTAACATTTCATAGCTAGCCTAAACTAGTGATTTTAGTATTAGCAATGCGTTTTATATTCATTAAACATGACAATCTAGGGGTCAACATTACCATATTGGTTATAATATAAGATATATTATCCTTGTATTCAGACCAATACAGATGAAGACAAATGTATGCTGTACATTACATTTATTTGGAGTCAGGATTTTTGATGAGGGTAATTATGTTTGCTTATGCCAGATGCCCAAGAAACCGGCAGTCGACATGGATTCCGTTTTCACAGTCCAGTGTTCATCCAAAGAGGCTATAGTCCGAAATAGCAACATAGTTCGAGTGTACAAATTAAGGGCCTGGAGAAGTCACGGTGTAATTCTCTGTCATTCAGTGTCCAATATTTTAAAACCCGACGCAGCACAAATCCTGACCGCACAATCCAGCACAAACGAACGAGACAATTTGGGGTGAATTTGGATCCTGCGGGGGGCTGCTGGTGACCTCAGAATGACCAACATTTTTATTATCTTTTTATTATCTAAAAAACCGAAGCAGCTCAAACGAAACTTATTACAGCATTGCCTAAACGATTGAGCGACGTTTTGCGTTGGGTGGGGGGGTTGCGTTTTTTTTTTTTTTTTTTGTACCGACGACCTCGTTTGGACCGCCGTTCTGGACTTTTCCCGAACGCACCGATTGTCAGTCCGTCCCTGTTGAATATATAAGAAACCTGCATGACCCTGTTGACCATTGCTTCTCGTGTTTGTTGTTGTATGAAAGCACGTGTGTAGTGGGCGTGACTGTGTGTCATTCCTTGATCCGCTCAGCTGATCATCATCATCTCATCACCAGGGGCCCGTTTCAATAAGGAGGTTCAACCAACTCTGAGTTAAAGCTTGAACTCAGAGTTGACTTACCCTGAGATGGGAAACTCTGAGTTTTCGGTTACAGAACAGCTGAAATGAGTTAGTTCAATCAACTCTGAGTTGACCGACTCTGAGTTAAGCGCTTGCACCACAACTATAAAAAGCCATTATCAATGGAGCACAGATATTATGAGTCACCATGGCAACAGCGCCAGACAAAAAGAGGTGTTTATTAATTACCAAGTAATCTAAATATTGTAATTTAATTAAAGGGATTACTCTTAATTCTTCTGTAATTTAAAATAAAATATGATGCAATTACATTAAATAGGCCACTACATAAACCAATTAAGTATAAAACAATAGTGGATTTAACATACATTTTTAAAAGGTATATTTTTTATGTAACCTTCTTCCTCTACACACTTTGATAAATTCAAGAATAATTCATGCAATTGTATATTGTGAATTTGAAAGAATTAAAAGTGCAGTTTCTTGTCTCTCCTCTTTGTATTAATCAAGTGGTTGAGGTTGAGATTTAGCAATTAGTAATATGTAGACCAATACTTTCTAGAGATAGTAGCCTGATTATTACATTAATCTAACTACACCGTTGAAGATGTCAGTTAATAATTCATAACTATTTTAGAGTAACTTACTGTTATAATATAGTAAACTTACTCAACCTAAAGTAGGCTACTATTACTTTGATAAAATTTTACCTAAGTTAAAGTAAAAATACCAGTCTAAAAATCCACTCAAGTAAAAAGTAGTTAATTTAAAACATGAGTAAAAGTTGCTGAGTAACTTGTGGGGGTGGGGTGGGGGACTCCCCCATGTGGGGAGAGTTGAGAAACATCTCAGAAAATATCACGGTTTATGGTATTAAACAATTATTAAATATATAAACTGCATTCTTAAATTACGGTTATTATTATCATCAGTTAAAATGACAGTTAAATAAATTAAACATTTGTTCAATAAAACATATCAACTAACTTCAATAATTGATTATGAATAAGATTAACATCTTATTTTTTATCATTAATAACTTATTAAATTATGTTTGAAAAATAAGTGAGTTCTATTAAATGTTTTTTTATTCCAATTTTTTTAATGATTTAATAGAAATATATTATCAAAAACGGTGGTAATCAAATAAAAGTTTAGCAAACGTTTTAAATCCTTTTATTTTTTGGCAAAGTGCTACAAAACAGATTTAGTCAATTAAACCATGGACAAACAATATATATTCCTTAAAGAATGTGTAAATACATTTTAGTATTATTGTTGGTGTTTAACAGCACTTCCTCTTTAAAAAAGGGGAGGAGACCGCAAGAAACTCTGAGTTTACTGAAGAAAACCTGCTCCCGACCAGGTTAGGTTCACGGAGTAAGTTACCATGGTAACTGACTCTGAGTATAAGTTACCTCTCTTTCAGAAATGGGCTTGACTTACTCTGCTGTCTCAGGTTTAACTTACCTCCCTTTCTGAAACGGAAAACCCAGAGTTTCCCTCATTTCAGGGTTAACATACTCGGAGTTTTCACTTAACCTCCTTTCTGAAACAGGCCCCAGAGCTGCAGCCGATCTCCTTACATTATATCCTACACTCACCGCTTTCTCATTCCTTTTGTCAGATCGTTGTTTGATGTCTCGGGTGTGTTTCTGCTTTTTTTCGTCTTCGTGATGGATTATTATCGTCGTCTTGGTTGGATAATCTTCATTGTCTTCACTTCACTCAAGTCCCCGCGCCATCCGCCCGGATTATTCAGGAAGCAAATGCCGCTAAACTCAGGTATTTATTATTTTGACACATTCTCTGTTCCTGGTTGCCTTAATAAAGACCTGCGTTTACCTGCATTTGCCTTAGGCCTACTTACGGTCATGACACTGTGAAACGCAAATGGACAACATAACAATTCATGTAGCAGACCGTAAAGGTTTCAATGACACCGCTGAGAGGATGAAGAATGGTAGGCCTAATAAGTATAAGTAAATAATAATTAAGTAATAAGTAAACAGCAGAACTGTGGAATATTTACTGCTGTACAGCAGTTTTCAGAGACGATTGGAAAGTCCCTGACCAGGGAAGATCCCCTCAGGCCCGGCAGTCTTAAAACATAAGTCCGTTATTCCAGATGCAATGTTGAAATTAATTAAGAATAATAAACGCTTTAAAAGTATCGTGTGTTGTTTGTTCATGATAACATGAATGAATCAGTGCCATTTTATTTAGGGTTATGTTATTTTATTAGGCTACTGCAAGTAAAAAGATAAATAATGCCTTGTAACTAACAAAATAAGTTAAATGTTTTCTTCTATTTCAGTTAACGTTTATTTTATTTCAAGTAATATTTTTGTAGTGCATTAAAACGAGTCTTTACTATTATAGATTTGTTTTATTTGTTTTAAGTTTTATTTTTATGTTTTCATTTGAATTTTGAAGTTTTTCACTTAAACGACTAGTCGTTTTAGTCATATTTATTATTTTAAATGTCTACATTAAAAACATTTTATTTTAATTTGAGTTATTCCAGATTCAACTTTTGATTGTAATAAAGAATTAATAAATGTTGAAATAAACTAAGAATAATAAACGCTTTATATGCATTAATTTGTGTTAACTAATGGAAAAATATTGTAAAGTGTTACCAAAAAGTGAAATTAATATAATTAATATTTTCCTTCTGAAGTAAACTTTATTTAGTTTGTTTGGAATAATAGAAAAATGATAGAAATGCAGCGTATATTCATTGGACTGATCAAAGCCTCGTTACCAGTGTTATTATATTTCATATTTTATAGTTTTATTATACGTAATTTATTTATTTATTGCTCTTTAGGATTAATTTATGTACGTATTCGTTTTAGTTATATTATTTCCATTTAGTAATAATCCCATAACCATAAACACACCGGAATTAAGTGGAAATAAAACAACATATGAAGAGTTCAGATGCAAAAGCCTCTAAGTGCCATTTGAAATTTTCTTCTAAAATTATCATTTTTATCAAGCTTGTATATTTAAGTTCAGTAATTTCACTTAAATGGCAATGAAGATTACCTATTAATTGCCATTTAAGTGAAATTACTGAACTTAAATACACAAGCTTGATAAAAATGGTCATTCTAGAACAAAATTTCAAATGGCATTTAGAGGCTTTTGCATCTGAACTCTTCATATAGCCTAGGCTACATTAGCAGAAACTAAACGAAAATTAGAAATGTTGCCTCGGCAATAACTGAAATAAGTTTAAGTTGAAGCCCTAAATGTTACTCATAAACGGCCCTGTCCTCTTTGTGTTATTCCCTTCCGCTTTACTGAGAAAACTGGGAAATAATAATGCAACAAAGTTGGTTAAAATAGCGTCACAGTCAGTTCAAGCTCAAGTTCAGTGATGCTTCATTTTTGTTGTAAAATATTAATTTAGTCGAAATATCTACAGTCTGCACCTTATAGTCGTGATTAAATATATTAATTCTGTATATATTAATTCTATCTTCATACGTTCTTATTAACACGATTATAAGGCCGTACGAAATGCTGTTATACCTACATACATATTTCAGTTTCTAATTATTCGTTAATTTACACTTTGAAAAGTATAGAATTTGAAATGTATTTCTTTTTTTTTTTTTCAACAGTAGGCCTACATTGCAAATATAGGCTACTAAAAAAAAAAAAATCTTTAAATATATTAAAAGTATGTGTTGCGTTTTTGGAATGTTGTCTTGGCAATAATTGAGACCGATTGGGATATGCGAAACACAAGAATAAATATCGTTTAATGTGAATGATTATTTTATTCATATGCTTTTGAATTGCAGGAGCCTATTAAGAAAAAGATATAGTTCAACCGCGGTTTCCGAACTCTCAATTTCCACATAAAAAAATGTATCACTATAACATTGTGTTCAACATGTTAAACATGTTTATATAGGCTAATATAAAGATACTAAATAATTCCAATTAAAAAAAAAAGTTAATTTAGTTACAAGTTTGTTTTAGTTCATAGTTATTTTAAAATACATGCTCTTTTTTATCAAATCTATATTGATACAAGATGTAAAAATGATACAATGTAAAAAATAAACATGTCAAACATGTTTATATATATATATATATATATATATATATAGTTCCAAATATAACAAAATATTGAAATAGAAGAAAACACAAACACAACTATAACAAACAAACACCCTAACAATTGCCTGATGATTGCATGATATTAAAATTATATCAAGACATGTGAGACTAAAGTACTAAAAAGAAACTAATGAAGATAGTGCCATAAGGTGCCAATACTTGAATAGGCGACTATTTTGGGTGAATTTCGATCATGTGGGGGGCTGGTGACGTCATCAATAATAATGTAATGTCTAATGTTTTAAAACCCGACGCAGCACAAATGAATCTTTTACCAGCACAATCCAGCACAAACGAAGCACAAACGAACGAGGCTATTTTGGGTGAATTTCGATCATGTGGGGGGCTGGTGACGTCATCAATAATAATCTAATATCTAATATTTTAAAACCCGACGCAGCACAAATGAATCTTTTACCGGCTCAATCCAGCACAAACGAAGCACAAACGAACGAGGCTATTTTGGGTGAATTTCGATCATGTGGGGGGCTGAGTGACCTCAGGTGACCTACCTAAAAATATTTTAATATCTAAAAAACCGAAGCAGCTGAAACGAAACTTTTTACAGCACAAACGGAGCACAAACGATTGAGCATATTTTGACGACGTTTTGCGTTGGGTGGGGGGCCAACTTCACGCAGGTCTCCTGAAAGGGGATATTTCTTTTCTTTAATTTATTTTATGTCACTGTTGTGTGACTCTCGGGGGCCCTCTGCTGGCCCTATGGAAGAAT